ATGCACATATATAGATACAGTGCACGCACACGCACATATACGCACACATATAACGCACACAGATATATATGTGTGCTGTGTATCTGTGTGCGTTATATATATATATGTGTGTGTGTGTGTGTGTGCACATATATACCTTGAGAGAATAGTTGCTGAGAAGGAAAGAAGAGAGGGGCTGCCGCTGCTTAGTTCATCCCTGCAATGCAAAACTTGTGTATATTCAACGGGGAAGCATGGTGTTTTGCTATGATTTTGGGACTAGAAGATCGGAACCAATTCAGTATCATGGAAATGGAATTGGAACTGGAACTGGAACTATCTCGGAAAATGACAGACTAGTTCCTTACTTCCAACCACCTTGGCGCCCTTCTTTGCCTTGTTTAACTTTGTCTTCCAAGACTTAACATAATGTAATACATTTCGATGTATACATTCTTTGTAAACTGTAGAACTTTATTTGTTCAGATTTCAATTTATATTACGTTACTATATAAGCTAGCTTTTTAAAGTGCATTGGTCTTAACATAATGTAATACATTCTATGTATACGTTCTTTGTAACGACTTTATATATTCGGGTTTCATATGAGAGTGTTAGGGACGACATAAGAAAAATGAGGAACTGATGTGAAGTTGGAAAATGACTAAAATGGCCATAGCTAATTGTATTAAGATCATCATCTTTGCTGTTTGATGTCTCGATAGCTCAGTAGATTAGTGCCCCCTGTAAAATTTGAAGTGTCAGGTTTTAATCATCTGTATCTACTAATCTTCTACCATTTCTTGCTTTGAAAAAAAAAATAAAAATCATCCTTGTTGTTCTAATTTTTCCAATTTCTCCTACTATATTATTACATTTTGTCCTTTTCTTTTGACATAAAAGACGTATCTATGAAAGGAAAAAAAAAAAAAAAAAAAACGAAAAAGGACTAAACTTATCTTCCCCCAAACACACACATTACTTAACAATTGTATAAATTTATGATTTTTTTGTATGCTGCATTTGTTTTCTTTATGTTACTTATAAATGTGTAGACTTATGAGTATTTGATTCTTTGTCAAAGACATAATAATAATAAAAAAATTTCAAACTTATGCTTCTACATTCCAATTTTCAATCTTTAGTTTATAATCAGCAAAAATCTTATTTGGCCTCCCAATCAGCCTCCAAGATATATTAACGCAGCCCATGTCACTTGCCATGACAGTTTACATGTCAGACACAACCAGCAGCAGTGCTAGCAGTAATGCCTCGTCACCTGCCACGTCAGTAGTTAACCATGCCTCCATCTGCATCATGGGTAGGGTTGCAAATGAACCGATCCAAGCCAAACCAAGCTTTGGCATGCTCAGGCTCGGCTCGCCACAAATCAGGGAGGTGCTCGGGCTCGGGCGAGCCTAGAATAGCCAAGCTTGAGCTCGGCTCATTAGAAAATCGACGAGCTCAGGCTCATTTACAAAACAGATCCAGTTCTAAAACCCTTAATTCCTATGTCTACCTTGCCCCATGTAGTTGCATCAGAACTAGCTAGCGGGATTGATGACTGAAATGGGTGAGATGGGTGAAGCAGGGGAAGCTATCAGATCAGGGCAGCGACTACTAACAATTGGATTCTTCCAAATGAATTGTCTATGCACATATATAGATACAGTGCACGCACACGCACATATACGCACACATATAACCCACACAGATATATATGTGTGCTGTGTATCTGTGTGCGTTATATATATATACCTTGAGAGAATAGTTGCTGAGAAGGAAAGAAGAGAGGGGCTGCCGCTGCTTAGTTCGTGGTAAAGAATGAAAGTATAATATAGGTTGTTTGTTATAAATGGGTTGGGTCTTTAAAATGAATATCAGCCATTATTTTTTGGGCTTTGTTATTTAGATTATAGTAATGGTTTTCAAATGGGCTTATTATGTATAATTGTAATGGACTCGCACATATGGGCTGGATCAAGAACTTATAAATGGCTAATAAACAAACCTTATACGAGCCTTGCTCACAAGCCTAAACGAGCCTTATACGAGCCTTATTCACGAGCCCATCGAGCCAAGCCTAATGTTGTTCGGGCTCGGCTCATTTACTAAACGAGCTTAGAAATTGGGCTCGAGCTCGGCTCGTTTGCTTAACAAACGATCCCAAGCCGAGCCCTTAACAAGCTGAGCCCGAGTTGTTCATGAATAACTCGGTTCATTTGCAGCCCTAGTCATAGATGAATACCCATCTCTATCAAATTTTCGTTAGGTTGCTTTCATGATCTTGCCTTCAATCTCAAGTTAGGTTCATACTCACATTGAGCTTGAAGGGGCTGTTAGATTACAAGTTTACCCCTTTACCTACCACCTAGGTTTCTTGCATACTATAAATTACGATATATTATTATTTATAGGTTACTTGTTCATCACTCATCTACCCCCAAACCTTCTCCTATATTTAGGAACTTAATATAATTTTCATTAACATAATAAGATATCATATTTTTACATTCCTTTATTTCTAACATGGTATTAGAGTCTTTCGATCCCTGGTAAATGATCTACGAGTTTATCGTAGGGTCATCGCCAGGAATGGCACCATCAGCCCTATCCTGGGCAACAATCAACCTTCAAACTTATGCTTTCGCATCCCAACTTTTAATCTTTAGTTCATAATCAGTAAAAACCTTATTTGACCACCTAATCAACCTCTAAGACACATCAACGCAGTTACACGGCAATAGTGCCATAATTCCGCCTCGTCAGCGCTTTATCCTCATACACGGTCAACCGCCGTGCCAGTAGTAGTACCATGTCACCTGCTACGACAACTGCCATGTCAGACACACCCAGCTGTAGTACTATGTTAAATGCCACGTCAGCTACCACGTTAGACACAACAACATCGGTGCCAACAGTAGTACCCCGTCACCTGCCATGTCAACTGTTAAACGTGCCTCCATTTACATCATGGTTGAACCCCATTTCCATCAAATTTCCGTTAGGCTGTTTTCATGATCTTACCTTCAATCTCAAGTTGGGTTCATACTCACATTGAGTTTGAGAGGGGGTTGTTAGATTACAAGTTTACCCCTTTACCTATCTCCTAAGTTTATATACTACAAATTATCATCAATGATTACAACTACTATACTAATACCTATAGATTATTTGTTCTTCTCTCATCTACCCCAAACCTTCTCTTATATAAAACTTTTATGTAATCTTTATTAACACAATACAATATCATATTTTCCCTTTCCCTTATTTCTAACATAATGTATACAAACGTGGGATATTTGAAGCAGTTGTTTGCCGACAAAAATAAGCTGTTCACAACAAAACCATTTTGTCCCTTTTGTGATAGAAATTGGTCTTAATTATGAATTTCATTTTAAACCCAATGTATACTTATTTTCTTTCTTTTCCTCCAAATTTTGAACTACTACATTTGCCAATCTGAGCCTTTAATTGTCCTCTTTTTCATTCTGAGTAGATCTGTTTTGATTATTTCAAGTTGAAGAATGAAATTCAGCTAATAATTACACATAGTTAAGATAAAATCATTATTTCTAGAATTACCTTTGAAGGTTCGGTCTTTATTTATTGTGAGTGTTTTGATAGAAAGAATGTATAAATATCAATAACTTCTCCAATTTTTAGTTCTTGCCCTCTAACTATGGTGGTCCCAAGTACTTCCTGGTGAGCTAGTTCGAGAATTACAATTCTCGACAACGAAATTGAATTATTATTATTATTATTTTTTGTTATTTAAGAAGAACTTACAAATTAATACTAACAAAACTTAACCAGATTGAATTAAAAATTTTCTTCTATTATCAATCTGTATAAATATCAACAACTCCTAACTGAATTAGTATGTCCTTGATAAATAAGTGTTTAGACCAATAAAATTCTACCTAATTGAGAGAGAGTTGGAGAAGTGACAAAACCTCATATTTTTCATTACAAATTTAATAAATAAATAAATAATCATTTAATTTGTGAAAAAAATTAGTCCTATAAAAAGTGAAATTTGTGCCTGTGAAAATTATGAAATAATTGGAGATGAAAAGGGAGATACGAAATTTTGTGACGTGACAGTTCATAACAACGTTTAGCGTTGGACTTGCTATTTCTTTTTCATATGTATTTTATCGGTTAAATTTTATTTGGAATAAAAGAAAAATCATAGACACTTTGTTTGAAACCAAATGCTTTTAACATTTGGATTGAAAAAAAGAAAAAGAAAAAGGAATTGGATTGAATTTGAAATGAGATTTCAGTTTTATGTTTGAAATAACCTTAAATTTAATCATAAAGGAAATATTTGTTTTAGCATTTTATCTTTATTGATTGAAATTGTAATCTTATATGTTTGATAAAAAAAAAAAAAAAAGGAATAAATTGGAGTAATTTAAACTTGTTAGTAAACCAATATATAAAATCCATCTTATAATCACAAGTTTATGTTGTGGTCAATAGTTTAGTAATGATGAATGTAAATAAACTCCTAATCATTTGGATTTTACTTGACCAGAGTTCAATTATCAAGCTCAAACATATTTTTTTAAATTCGATTCACAAACAAGCCAAGTTCAAAAACAACTTTGAGCTAACTCTAGTTTGTGAACATGTTTGTAAACAAAATTCGTGAACATGGCTATACTTATAATTATATATATATATATGATAAAATCAAATTAGTTATAAAAATATATTAATATTATATTTCAGTGCTGTGATACACTACATGAGTTTAGCCCAAAACAAAATTCTATACTATTAATCCAACTCTATTAAGCCGATGAAGACCTCATAGAATGATAAAGCCCATAATGTCGAATTCTATTAGCCCAAGTAAGTCCACATACAATTATAAAAGCCTGCAACCAAAATGAGTGGTGTAGATGAAGTTTAAGTATTTCATCTACACCACTCAAACTCAAAACCCTATTTCATCTACACCACTCAAACCCAACCTAGGGTTCGCTATATATATATCGTCTCCATCAGCCTCAGCCCTCGAAACATGCGGTGACCCCTTTACTCTTCGGATCTGTCCGGATTGAGGATGGGTGCCCTTGCTCGTTTCTGAACTAGGCCGAGTTGCCTCGCAAACTCGGATCGAGTTCCAAGTGCGGGGTTCACTCAGGGAAAGGTTGGGGGTTTTGCGCGCCGATCAGTAGATTCGGCGAGGCCGATTTGCCTAGGTAAGATCTTTGTGTATTATATAAAACATTTTTGCATTTAAACAAGTCCGGATCCATAAAAGGGCAAATTAGCTCGGCTCATTAAGCCCTAATTCAACGATCGCGCTCTCTGTCTCTCTCTCTAATATAACTATTCAATTGAACCAGCATACGTTTCTTGAGTCTCTACTGTCAGATCAATGGACAATCGTAGTTCATCAGCTATTCTTAAAATGAATATTATTGAATTATTCAAAAAATGTAGAACTATTCCATTGAACTAGTATACGTTTCTTGTCTCTATACTCTCTCTCCCCATTGTATTTCACGACTGTATTCTTAGACGATTTGTTATTTATATTATTTAATTATTTGATTTGTTTTTTTGAATGTATTTTTACTTAGAAACCCTATTCCATTGAACTAGTATATGTTTCTTGAGTCCATAACAGACAGATTAGTATGCATCTTGACACAATTAAAAAATTAGTGATACATCACATACTTTTGATCTACTATGCATCAGTAGATCTGAACTTGTATGATCTTTCATAATTTTGATTATTTGTTCATCAGTTATTGGGAATGCATAATTGGCGTGATTTCTTGCTTCTAATTAATGAATTCAGACTATTTGTGCATGGAAGTGTGTAATTTTTGATTATTTGTTCATAAGAAATGTTATTGTGAATGCATAAGTGGCTTGTTTAGGATTTCTTGCTTCTAATTAATTGAAATTTATTTATTTATTTTTCATGAATGTGATTGGTGCTGCACAGGTGACATTGACGGTCAATTACAAAATTTAGTTAGGTGACATAGGTTCCTATATAAAGAGTTATTAAATATAATTTTTTTTTATATTTTGGAGATCATACCAAATTGTTGGGTTTGTTTAATTATTATCAAGAGTTTGAATACGGTCTTCATCGCTTGGAACTAGCACCATGTTATGTTATTACCCAAATCACATAAATATGCAAGTTTATACAGTGTGATCCAGTTAACTTGGAAGTTCAAAATAATGTATATTGCTCTGTTTGCCATACAAATTTTCTATGCTACATGATAAGGGAATAGGTTTTGTTTTGAAGAGATCATAATAATCACTAGTTTAATTTATTTAAACACCATGATATGTAATGAACAATTGGTCAACTTGGTTACTTTCCGAAAAAAAAAAAAAAAAATGGTCAACTTGGTTGATTATGTGCTAGATTCTTATATGTGTTTACACAGTATGGTTTATTATTTAACTTGTAAAGTTTGTTACACATGCTTCTCATTGTTGAATGCCTCAAATGCAGATTTCATATTGGATTGAGCTGGACATCACGATGAAACCTATGAAGGTGATTCTAGAAACTGTAGCTGACCTAATTTTCAATTAAGATCATTTGGAAAAGTATTTTTTTCATCATACTAACTACTACCTGCCTCTCCTTACCATTCTAGCACAAATAAAAGACTTGATAAAAACAATCAAAATGGACAATACATTATGAGATCATATAGGAGTGTCCTAATACCTTATACATGGATGTGCACAACATTCTGTTTTACTTGAACTAGCCTGAAATTTATTATGTCTATGTAGCAAATGGCCTGTATGATCTCAAAATGTATTGTCCATTTTATTTTTATTTATCAAGTCTTTTATTTTGTTCTAGAATGGTTATGAGAGGGAGGTAGTTGTTAGTATGATGAAAAAAATACTTTCCAAAAGATCTGAATTGAAAATTAGGTTAGTTATAGTTGATCATCTTAAAAACTTTATATACATTGAAGTAGACAAAGAAGCCCATGTGAAGGAGGTATGCATTATCAAAGTATCATACATTTGTGTTGCTCAACTAAATGATCTTTGCCTTCATATATGTTTGCTAATTTTACCCTTTTATATTTTATTTTTGTTGACACCCTTTTTTGGTAAATTGGGCAGTGATGTGGCAATTGGATGGAAGTAAATTGGGGAGTGACATTGCAATTGGTTTAAGTAAACTGGACAGTAACGTGGTTTAATATTGCATGTCAAGGGTGGAGATGATAGAAGCTTTTGAATTAACTAATGGATAAGAATCATAGCACTAGTATTTATCTTTTAGTTGGTTTTAGTTATATATTATGTTTATCTATATGATTAGTATATTTTGAAATTACATTTTGTTATGTGATAAGAGTTGTAATGCAAGTAAAATACTTTCATATAGGAGTTTGTTTTATGTATTATTCTATAAATAATTGTAAAGGTATGCTATGTTAGAGGTCGAGCACCTCAGAATCTTTTATTATTATTGTTGCTTTCTCAAGCTTCTTCCCCATATAGCATCCTTGCTATTTCTATCTCTTTTTTTATTTATTTTAGTTTCGCTTCTCTCTCACTTCTTCCTATCACCTTCTATATCTATATTTTCTTCCCCTTCTATTCTCAAATTGTTACTATATTTATTCATCAATTTAAAATAGGTTCTAGCCAGCCGATTTTAGCTTCAACATTCTTGGCATGCCCGGTGGAACCTTACTAGGTGAGTGATTAATAGTAAAAATATGCAGTCGGCTTCTCAACCGATGTATGAATATTTTGATCAGTCATATATGATGTACTAGTATTCTAATCAGTCATATGGTTGGCTAAACAATTATCAACAAACAGTCGCTGATTATCGGCAGGTGCCAATAGTGGATTATCGGTAAGTGGCAAATCTCAACCGTCGCTGATTATCGGCAGGTGCCAATAGTGGATTATCGGTAAGTGGCAAATCTCTAAATGAGAGAATTTAATCAGAAGGTATTTGTCGATATATTTGCCAAAACGAGGGAGAAGATTAAAGCAATAATGACTTAGATATTGGCTACCCAGAGTAGCTATGATCAAGCCGAAAGCTTGGCATCTTATGCATCAATTTTTCAACTAGCGGTGATTCGCTAGTAAAAACAGAATTAGCAATGCTTGCAAGCAATGCTGATTGCCTTTCAGAGAGAACAACGAGAAATGGGGGGGCAATCAAAACCGAAGGAAGAACAACCCACAAGCTCCACCAGTATCACCGACGGCTGTCGAGGGGCATGTTATTGCAAATCCACAACGAGAATGGGTTGACCCGTATTATCCACTTCAGCCTATTAATGATTTTACTACTTTCAACGGCAGAAAATATCAACCGTATGATCGGCAAGATTATTATCGATCAACAGCAAAATTTCAGCCACCAGTAATAGATTATCTGCAAGTTCCAGCAGCCGATTAACGGCAGGTGGTAAATAAATCACAACAGATGACTTATCAACAACAAAGTTGGAAAAGTTATCAGACTGGTACTGAAAATTGGCTGAAAGCAAAGCAGCCTATGTAGTAGAATTCTTTGTCGATTGTGACATCTAATAATCGGCAAAAACAATTATCAGCTCAAAGAATTGTTTTAACTCGCTGTCTTCAGCCCAATTTCAAAAAAAAGGATTAGCTGATGTTAATTGCAAAAGGTTACTTAGAGCTCGGTTGAGAAAATCGGCCGAGGCAAAATCGGCTAAAAAACCAGCTGCTGTCGGGGGGCATGTGATTGCAAATCCCTAACAAAAGTTAGTTGATGCATACGCTCTACTTCAACCTGCCGATTATAGTGGGGTCATGCTTACTGATCAATGGTCTTTTGGGCATGATGTAGTCCTGCCGATTGAGCTGAAGGCAAAATCAGCAGAAAGACAATCGGCTGAGATGAAATCGGCTGAAAGGAAATCAACTAAGAAAACTCTTTACTGGCACAATGCCATTCATCTAGTAGAGATATAGGCAGATCAGCTAGAATGCTTCACAATAATTTAATTCCTGTTGATCATGATTATGATTTGCTAACGGAGTTAGAAAATGCATGGGGGCAAGTCCTTTCTGGGTTTATGGGTTGACGATATCGGTAAACTTTCTGAGAATTTAGGAAGAAGACTAAATCATCTTAGGGGTGATTCAGAAGACATAAAGCTTTGGAGTTTGTTGATTTGAAATCTTGTTCCAAGTGACTAGCTCAACCCTTGTTCAAAATTTATTTCCAATGTATTTTAAATTTCAAATATCTTATCGGCTTGGGCGGCCGACAGCCGATAAGATATTTAAAATTGGAGGCATTGTTGACACCCTTTTTGGTAAATTGGGCAGTGACGTGGCAATTGGATAGAAGTAAATTGGGTAGTGACGTGGCAATTGGATGGAAGTAAATTGGGTAGTGACGTGGCAATTGGTTTGAAGTAAACTGGGCAGTAATGTTAAGTGGTTTAATATTTGTATGCCAAGGGTGGAGATGATAGAAGCTTTTGAATTAATTAATGGATAAGGATTATAGTACTAATATTTATCTTTTAGTTGGTTTTAGTTAAATATTATGTTTAGCTATAGGATTAGTATATTTTGTAATTACATTTAGTTATATTATAGAGTTGTAATGCAAGTAAAATACTTGCATATAAGAGTTTGTTTCTATGTATTATTCTATAAATAATTGTAGAGGCATGCTGTGTTAAAGGTCTAGCACCCTCATAATCTTTTATTACTATTGTTGCTTTTTCAAGCTCCTTCCTCATATAGCATCCGTGCTATTTCTATCTCTCTTCCTCTATATTTCAATCTCGTTATATTTCTATCCTCTCTATCACCTATATTTATATTTTCTCTCCCTTCTATTAATTATTTACTGATAAAAGTCCTTTTAATTAAGGCAATTTTGAACTCACAGAGGAGTATATTTATTCTATTTCTCTTTGCATCACTTGGAAGTCCAATTTCTCAAAGAGACTATTGTTGACTAAACACATTTGAACCATATAATTGGTTCTGACATGCCCGCAACAAATCAATTTAGAATCGGCTCTAGCCAGCCGGCTTTAGTGTCAACAATTTTGCTTTAGGCTTGCAAGGGCATGTAGGACATATTCTAAAAGTGTAATTTGTCTTCCAACTGAAGAGATCACTGATTTTCCTTTCTGTGAAAATGAAAGCTATTGATGCATCCTGGGATATACTTGGTTAGAATGAAGACCAGGACATACAAAGGGATCTAGTTACATTTTTTCTAATTATCAGGTTTTTATTTTTTAGGTTGTTGACTTGGATGATTTATGCCAGAAAGTCACTGCAGATAATTACCCGGATAAAAAAAAAGTCTATAGTTAAATATATATAAATAACCATATTTAGGACAATACAATTGAATCATACCTTGTCCTAAATGTGGTTAGTTATATATATATATATATATATTTTTTTTGTTTTGTTGGCCAAAGCCATTTGTTGAATTATTTTTGCTGTGAGTTTCTGGCATAAATCATTCAAGTCAACAACCTAAAAAATAAAAACCTGATAATTAGAAAATATGTAATAAAACAAGAAATATTATGAGTAATGAAAGAAAGGAAAAAGGATAAAATCAAAGTTAATGAAAACTTGTTGGTTTAGCATAGGATTGTTTAAACTGTATGTTGTATGTGATTTTCATACTTACAATTGTTTGTTGCTTAAACTATTTTTTGTGAAAATTCAGTGCTTTAAGATAATATATGAAGATGCTTAGTTATGCTATATTTGACTTAGTATGTGATTATCTACATATATGTTTGGGGTTAAGTGTAAAAAAAATCCCTTGTTTGTATAGTTAATAAGTGCATCTAAATACGTGTATTTTCAAATTTTGGAGCGAATTGTCCTTGATGGTATTTTGAGCAATTGTTTTATTACGGGATTTAAATTTTTTTACGCATACCTTCAACTCTCAATACAAAAATACAAAATTGCCCCTCATTCTTATAAATATACCACCTCCAAGATTACTGGACTGCCCTCAATCTTTACTTTAAGGGTAAATTGCATTGACACCCCGGTCAACGACTTTGTTTACATTAACACCTCCTAAGGTTTGAAATGTCATAAATGCCCTAGAATTTTTAATTCAATTTTATAAAAAATTATCAGCCATGCTAAATGGTAAAAATAACCCTCTATATAATGACAGCCTGAGAAGAAGATGAGGGAGAAAGAGAGTTGCCGCCAACCATCATCGCCGCCACCAACCAGCATTGACTCCTGTACCATTGATCATCCCTTTTTCTCCCCACTCACCACTGCAACATCCGCCCCACAACCATACCTATCATCGCCGACCCGTTCTCACCACTAACTGCCATCGCTACCACCACCCATCATCGGTAACTCCACCAGCGTCCACCCTTTCTTTCTCTCTCTCTACTCTAATATCCTCCCCACAAGCACCATCGCCACCTCAACCACCACATAAAAGCCCTAGTAATTAAGAACAAGAACACAGGATGCGGCAATACTACCCCCAGCATCGCTGCCGTTGAGCTACTGCTCTGCCACCTTGTGAGACCAAAATCCAGTCTGTTGCCACCACCCACCATGAGAAACCCCAAATCGAACCCCATTCGTATACCCCCAATCTGAAACGCGCCCCACCGCCCCCCACTAAAAAAAAACACACACACACATACACATACCGCCACTTCTACTACCACCACTTCTACTACCACCATATGCACCAATGACTAATATAATCAACCCCTTCCCCCCCACCACTTCTACCACCAGTATCTCCACCCATAGTGAACACGATCGAATCATGACTCATGAGGACCCCAATTTTAACCTAATTCATATATATATATATATATATATATATATATCCAGTGTCTCTCGATCTCTTAATTCATATACATATATAGAACCTTTCATATATATACTGGTTATATATATGTATATATGTATATTCAAAGGGGGGATACGAAGGTGCAATTTGTACCTGATAAATCTCCAAACGAGGGATACGAAGGTGCAAGTGAAGAATAGGTGCTCATGTGATTCAAATGTATTATTGCACAAAGAACATATGTTAAGATGCTTGGCCATTGATTTGCTATCAAGGGTTGGCAATTTAGATTGGACAGCCAACCAAAGGTTGAACTTCATTGTTGAGATTGTTGGAGATTGCCAAACCAAGTTGTGCCATGGGACAGTTGGGAACTTACCTGCTAGGTGTGCAACAGTATGCTTGAATGTTTATAGGCCGGATGGTGATGCTGTCCACTTCTTAGTGTCTCTTCTCGATGAGCATGGTGCAGGTAGAGAGAGCAGTTCAGGTATGACATTGGTGATAGTAGAAGAAAAAACCCAGTTGTTGTTTACAATGAAATTGTCCACTGTTGTGTCATCATTAAATCCAGCCTTAGTTAGTAAAATTAGTGAAAATCTTTAGCCAAGAGGCCCTCTTGGAGCTCAGTTATCCCACCAGAAGGATGTGTTAGCACTACTGCCAATAGAGTGTTT